TTGTAGCGAAACGCAGCGTATAGTGGTTTGAGGGAAATTAACGACCCAGTACGGCCAGTAAAACTTAATTTCCGTCTGGGACTTTCCAGGCTCGAACTACCCGTATTCACTCGTCGGGCAGCCATAAAATTCCAACCGCAAATTATGGGACGCCGCCTGCTGCTGGTACCGTCTTCTTTTTCTACCTACATTGTACTTACTGGTGTCACTTCTGCGCCGCTCTACATCGCGAGAGCGCGACGCGCAAAAACGTTTTGTTTACGACTTCACTCGGACTCGGACTTGGTTCTTTCTCACAGCGACGACGCGAAGAATTTTAACTGCCACCGGGGGCAGCCACCGTGACGGCACAGGATGTGCTGGCAATTGTCGAAATAAAACGTAAAAAATGAACTGGTACCTCGAACAATGGGAGCGGGTGAGAATCGTCTACGGTACCATCGCGCTTCTGGGCTACGGATCGGTTATGGTACGTTTGTAATTAGGTGGGTTCTAACAGAGCGTGTAGTCGACGTTCGATTATCTTTAAATCTAGTCCAGATCTTCATACTTTTGCCTGCAGACAAATAAAAACGTGTATAAAAACTGTTTTCAAACGTTTGTGTAAAAACTTTTACACGAGTAAAGCATCTGTGTTTCTTTTTTTCCATCTAGGATTGAAAGTAAAAGTCTTAAACACAAACATTTGTCCACAAACAACTAGCACAGCATATGTAAACCAGCAAATTCAGATGAGCGGAAATCGTAAGACGCGCTTAGCAGACCGCAGACCGTGCATTGTTTTCGGTCTACAAAGACAGAGACTATACACTAGTCCAGGAAAGTTAGACATAAAAAGACGGAATGAGCGAACTTTTTTACTGTGACAGTTGTCATGTTGCTTGTTACGGCCAATCTAAAATGAGCGAAACAAATGGAAACATCATTTTAAGAAAAGGGAAATGCTTATTCGTAAATGAAATGAAAACCACTTTTTTTAGGCATAGGGAAACTTTAACAGAGTTACACTTAATTTTAATGCAGGATGCGAATACGTTAAAAAAAATTCCATTTAAAAATTTCCAGTTTTCCACATTTTCTGAACTTCATATTCTATACATTTTTTTTACCACCCTGTATAAAAACTGGACAATTTTCATGTCAAATTCGATAAATTAGGTCTTCCTTTACAAAATTTCCTATTCGCACAAAAAAATAAACCTATGTTTCCGGGAAAATTAAATTTTACTGACAGTCTGCGTCTGTCAATTTTTGCTTAAAAATCAAAATATCTCGGAAACGGTCAATCCCAAGTATGGAAAGTGCTATATGTTTTCAACTAAAAAATAAATGCTCGTTTTAAAAAAGCAATAATAAATAGGGGTTTCCTTTTAAAATAAGAAAGTTAGTATCGACTTCCGGTATAACCACTGTTAATACAAGACACTGCAATGAGTGAAATTTTTCGAAGTTTGCACCTATTTTGTGAACACCCTGTAAAAGCTATAATAATGAAATTTCGTATTTAGGGTTTTGAGGTGTGATCAAATCGAAAATGATATACATTTCTTTCTTAAAAAAATGCCTAATATGTTTTTTAATTTTTGAGGGTCTTTTCTTAATGATAATAAGCCGTAGAAAGAAAGATCACAATCATGTCAAAAAATATAATATAAAACAGTTTTTGAGTACTATCACATAAAAAAGAATTTTAGAAATCCAACAAACGCCATCCTAAATACGGAGGTGTTCCGACTTTAAGTGAAACACACTGTATATGTATATGATTTTTCGCGTTTTTTGAACCAAAAACTACCAATATCTTAATGAAGGCGCATTTTTCGAAAAAGTTTAAAATAAAATTGTTCAAAATTAAATTTTCTACAAAATTGCTCCTAAATTTCGGTTTTCCCAATAGTTTTCCCATATATTTTTTAAATGAAGTATAGATTATGTGAAAATTGATGTTTTGGAGCCAAAATAATGGTCAATTCATTTTTAAATAACAAAAGAGAATCAGAGAAATGAAAAATGCGGAAAATTCTTTGGAAATCATATAGTTTTTCGAGATTTGAATATTTATGAGGATCAAACGTATCATTTTATAGGTTTTCGACATTACGAATTAATTATGCGTTTTTTAATATTTTCCAGAAAAATCTATTTTTCTTTCTAGTACATACGCGGAATGTTTAAAGTCGTTTTTGCTGAAAATAAACATGAGTAATTTTTCACTTTTTATTCATTTTTATAAGTTGAAGATTAGTTTTTAGCGATAATTTCTTCATTAAAAATCGTAAATTATTAGGTCGGTATAAAAAAAATTAAAAAAAAATAAATTCCAAAAAAAATCGAATTTCCAAAAAGTTTTTGGGTTAGTTTGAAAAACACTATGTATTTGTTTTTAAGAAAGCCTATATAAACGATTTAGACTGAAGAACTCGGTAAAAATTCAAGATTTGTGAAATAGAATACATCGATCCATTATATCAATTTTTTTAAAATAAATTTTTCAATTGACATTTAAAACTAAGACATTTACTGCGGTAAAAAAGTCAACCAAATTTTTTTGACGATTGTGGGGCATTGTGGATATGCTAAAAAAATTTCAATTTTTTTTTAACTTCAATTTTTTACAATAATTAACGTTTTTTTTTGATGAAGTAAATATGGATTATTGCTAAAAATTCATTTGCAACTTAAAAAAATGAATAAATGGTAAAAAATTACTCCTTAAATCGATTTTCAACAAAATTTAAACATTCCGGGCACTAGAAAAAAAAATCATCACTTTGAAATTAACAGGGTTTATTTAGGACACTTTGAGGTTGAAAAGTTACAGTCGATATCCTTAGTTTGTCCATTATTTGCAAAGTTATGCCAAGTTATTCAAATATCCCTAATTATGCAATTTTTTATCTTTTTCCCAATCAATATTTTCACTTCGAAATTTTTTTTATCAAAAACTAATAATTACGACTTTTAGAGAATACTTTGTAGTTTTCAAAACCCTAATTGAATTTTCTGTACGATCAGTATTTCGAGTAATTGATTGCCAAAGTCAAGAATTACTTTTTTGTGTTGACGATAAGTCGACGACAAATTACACAGGGCTCTGGAAGAGCTCAAATTGAAGGAAATCAAATTATCTAAATGGGCTTTACGGGAAAATTATCCAAAAAAAATATATTGAAGTCTACAGACCTTTTTAAAGACGAGCAAAAATTTGGGAAATAATAAACCACTAACGCTAAAAAAATTTAAACTCCACATCTGAAAACTAGAAACTTGAAGCTTCAATTTCCTTTTTTTTTAAGCCTTCTACGATAATTTCTCTCCGAGTTACAGCTCTTTGAAAACCACCCAAAAATTTGGAATTTTCTTAATATCCCTTAATTTTTGTGACTATAATAGTGAAATTATAGAGCTGGCTTCAGAAATCTCAAACTTCAAACGTAAATATCTCTGTTATTGTAAAGTTTTCATTAGAATGATTTTATGAGACGTATTATTTTGGCGTTAGTAGCAGTTAGTTAGTCTTAAATAACAAAGCTTTTTACTATTTTTCGCTAAGGCCAACTCGTGCGAAATTTATAAAATCGACCCAGTCACGCCTATTCGAAACGGTGTTGTGTTCAATCTAGTTCCATTGTTGTACAATAATAGGTACCCAAATCCACACAATACTACTATTTTCGATACTAAAATCCGTGAAAATCAAGCTAAACGTAAATAACACACAACCTTTTAAGGTAAACAGTCGAAGACGATCTGCCAACCAGAGATTCTATCACCTTTATTACATCCGCTAACGCGTACGAGATCACTTTATATGCCTAACTTCCTGTGAGGCATTTCCGTTCTTCTATTACTCAACTCGGGACAGGCTGCGGTTAAGACTTCCTTTTAGACACCCATCAAAAGGATACCAGGCCGTACACCGCCCGGTTTGTCATATTATAGCTTAATTAACACAATATTCGATCAATTTATTTCTTATATTCCTCCGGAAGAAGCCAATAAACGATGTTGTTGGCCTTTTTTAACTTCCTTAGTCGTCTTCTTTCGAGTAATTGGTTTGTCACTAATTAAACCGAATTGTTTAGATTAGGCAGACGTTAAGAAAAAAAAAGAAAAGAAAGGAAATGCGATCTAGCTATTGTAGTAACCTGTTTTAAAGTTTAAATTTCGCATGAATTTGCGTAGTTCGTGAAGAAAGGAGAAGAGATCTTGGAGTCAGATTTTGGTGTTCGTACTTCTTAGGTTAGTTTTAGAGGTTATGTTACGTTAGATCAAGGTTTCTATATGTTTAGAAACCTTGATGTTAGTTAGCTTCTGTAAGAAAAGAAGCGTTGTCTGCGTTGTTTTCACGGTGCATTCCATGGAATAATCAATTCATAGAGGCGATGGGGTGTATGCCAAAAAAAAGAAGAAGAAGAAGCGTTGTTATGCTTAAATGTTTGTTTACAGAATTTAAAACGGAGTGCAAATGTAAACTTCGAGCTCTTGTTTTTATGTATTTTGTTGTTATTGGTTGTTCAATAAAAAGGGCTGTTTTGTAGCCAATGAGAAAGAAGAGAAAAGTTCATCTGAAAGCGGCTTAACCATCTTAACTTTGTCAACAGTGTCAACATTTTTGCCTGCAAAATTAGTTATTGTAATATTGGCATACTTTCTATCTTTCTATCTAAAGTATACACATTTAAGATTATTACTGGAGTATATCAACCAGTGGTGGAAGGTCAGTATCAGTAAGAATCCCAGAAAATCGACTCCATCGAGTTTTTTAGAAATTGAATTACTCTTTATAACTCCTCGTATTTTTTTGTACATTATAATTTTCTCAATCTAAGGTCACCGTAAACTGTTGTTATATTTAGAAAAATACCTATATGTTTACTCAAATGTTAATTCTTAATTTTTACTGAACTGTTTTTTGAGGTTTCTTTTCATATTGCCAAGTTCTATCATGATTCTTTTATTTTATGTACAACATTTCGTTGACTAAACTTTTTTTTCAGGACTGTCATGGAGTGCCTAAAAGTCAAGGAAGCGCCCCAGTAAGAGACGAAGTGGACAACTACACTTTGATGAGAGGTTTACAAAACGATTCCCATACTGTCATTGAATTTAGGAGAGTTCTGGACACCTGTGATCCCGATGACTATGTTTTATCTGTAAGCATAACACACAAAGTTTTTTTTATGAAATTATAACTTTTTAAATACGGTTATACTTCTGAACTTAAGATAATCGATTGTAAGGTTTTTCCCAAAATTTTAGGCTGATACGGTGAGAGTTATATGGGCTTTGCATGATTCTGACCCTCAACATGGTGCCGAGATGGTATATCACGGGGAGAAGAGAGGTTCGCAGAGCATACATTTGCTGGGACCTCCGCCTGTTCCGAAAGTAGCACCGGGGCATTCCAGAAATTGGGATATAACTTTAAAAAATGTAAGTACACTACTTTAACCTAACTAGTATCGTGTTTTATACGCCAGTGCTATAATAGTAGGCAGTAATAAATCAAATCACAATTTTTACCACTTCTTAATCTGAAAAATAATTTTTGTATTCTTTGGAATTTAACTGTTTTTGGAACCCTCCAAAAGGATACTCCCATGGAACTACGTTTCTCGCACGCCGTACCCTTCACACAGCCTCCTATTTTCCCACTGAATTATTAAGAAAATAGTTTATACATCGTACAACCGTTATTATTTATTGTATACAATAGTTTTTTCGTAATTTTCTTGCAGTTCAAAGTCCAAAACAACATGAACACCATGTACTGGTGCAAAGTCTTCAAAGCGCCCACATTAAACGACAAACACCACATCATCGGCTTCGAACCTATCATCGGTCCCAAACACTCGACGATGGTGCATCACATGATCGTGCACGAGTGCGAGCTTGACAAAACCGCCAACCCGCTGATCTGGGACAATTTCGCCAAAGACGACGGGCGACTGTGCTACAGCGACATGCCGACAGAGTGGGAAAAATGCCTGACGCCTCTGGTTACGTGGGCCGTGGGCTCTAAAGGTACGACGTTAACAATGATTTTACGTCGTTTGCGGTTTTGGAAACGGTCGTTTTCTTTTTCCAGGCGAATCCTTCCCGAACCACGTGGGCTTGCCTCTGGCCGGCAAAAAGAACTCTTACTACATGTTGGAGGTGCATTTCGACAATCCCATGATGGTAGACGCGGTCGATACGTCCGGTGTTCGGGTGCATTATACCAGCGAGCTCAGGGAGAACGAAGGCGGTGTTCTTATAACGGGCGTCGCTCTTTCCACCCTGCATTTCGTCCCGCCGTACCAGAAGGAGTACAAGACGGCCGGTTATTGCAGTGTGGGATGTACCAAAGAAGTAAGGAGATTAAATAATCGACGTTTTGTGAGATAACGACGTAATTTTTAGGTATTCCCGAAGGACGGTATAAACGTGGTGTCCGTTATGCTGCACTCCCACCTGGCGGGGAGGAAACTGAAGTTGCGCCACATAAGGGCCGGAAAAGAATTAGCGCCTTTGGCTCAGGTATTTATTTCAGCTAAAAGAACACTTTTTTTCGTTACCTAATTTTTTTTTTTTCTTGTAGGACGATCGCTACGACTTCAACTATCAGCAGTCCCGTTCGCTCTCCCAAGACACGCCTATCCTGCCGGGCGACGGCCTCATAACCGAGTGCACCTACTCCACCGTGAATAGAAGTAGGCCCACCCTGGGAGGGTACTCGACTAGAGAGGAGATGTGCCTGGCGTTCGTCTTGCACTATCCGAGGACCCAGTTGGCGGGGTGTTACTCCATACCGCCGGTGAAATACTTTTTCGAGACGCTGGGCATAAGGGAGTTCTACGGGAAGGACATGATAGAGATAGAGCAGGCGCTGCTGGAGGGAAAGTAAGTGTTTCTTGTAAATTTCCGGTAAATTTCCTGAAATTTTGATCAATTTTAATGAAAAAAAAATTGTTACCGGGACTTTTATATGTGGAAATGGTAAAGGGGCTTATAATAAACGTAAAAAAAAATTAATGTGAGCGGGCGTGGCGGAGGGTTGATTTGGGGGGTTGAAAAGTGGTGAAAAATGTTATTATTTCAATGTTTAATTGTCAGTGTTGCGAGAAACAACTACTCCGAGGGCTATACGCCCCTACCAGCATTGAATTATACTCGCAACACCTAGTGCAACAGCTAGGGTCGTTCGTCAGTTTAACCCATCAGGCACAGACCGGTTTCGGACTTATTAGTCCTCATCAGTGTGTCATAGGTGAGACAACTGACGAACGGACCAGCTGTTTTGCGTCGTATCGTCACGACAAGGAAATACATTGTACGCGGGAGCGCAAATGGCTCCATCTGTCGTGCGGACGGCAGGAAGCGACCTGCTATATTGCCGGTCGGATGTCTCACCTAAGACACACTGACGAGGACTAATAAGTCCGAAACCGGTCTGTGCCTGGTGAGTTAAACTGATGACGAACTACCCTAGCTGCTTGCACTAGGTGTTGCGAGTATAATTCAATGCCGGTAGGGGCATATAGCCCTCGGGGTAGTTGTTTCTCGCAACACTGGCAATTAAAACATTGTCTTCGCCCTCTGTGGGTGGCAGTCGTGCAACAAGTACCTGCAATATAACGGATTGCTTACTACTGTGGCCATTTCAATGGCACAGTCGGGAGTCAGCACAACAGATGGAGCCATTTGTGCTCCACGTACAATGGTATTATTGCAAGTTCGTCGAACAAAAAGGTATTTAATACAAAAGTTGTAGATCATGCAAAAATCTACAACTTTTGTAGAGGTCACTTTTAAGGTGTTATACCACTGTAGAATTTTCAAAAAATCGATTTTCTTTGCTTAAAAAGTAGTTTGAACCTTCTAAAATATGAGGCAAAAGGTTTTATACATGATTTTTTTTTTATTGCGCTTTTCCTGAAGCGTGTCGGGTGTCTTTCATACGGCTACCTGCGCCATGAATATACTCGCTCGGAAGGTTATAAACAAATAACTGCCCTTTTTTCGTCAAAAATTTAACGTTTCAACTCAAACACTTGCCAATTTTACAAAAAACAATATTTCTACAAACCTGTACGTGTTTCTCTAGCTACACTCATGTAGATTAAAAGCAATTATTTCTTTGTTCCACCTTGAAATTTGCACTAGTTGTAGTGCGTGCCGCAGAACGCCTCAATAGCAACATGCTTCAGAAGAATGGCTCCAGTGCCGCCATTTTGAAATATTTTTTTAAAGAAACTACGCTTAATACATGCCTAATAACATATTTACAGTTTTATTAAAAAAAAATTGTTAAAAATACTTTTTTTTAGGCCGTTACAGTGGTGTAACCTTTTAAACATAACCTCAAAATTTCCGAGAAAAATGCGAAAGATAGTTTTTTATTTCCACAAAAATAGTGTAATGTTGACGAAACTTGGTGAAAGTATACCTTTTTAAGTCTTAAATAACCACAAATTTTTTCGGATAAAAAAATCAAGAACTTTTCAAGATATTCATTTTTTTCTGGTCCGAAATACTTTTTTTTCAAACAAAAGTTCTACTTGGAAAAATCATCGTACAGAGTTCTGCCGGTGATCATTATTTTCGTTTTGACTTGCTTGACTTTGGTAAAATAAAAAAATTTTATATTCACAATTAAAATCATGCTCAAAAATGCAAAAAAAAAGAACAAAGAATTTACGCAACAATTAATTTTTCAGTAATTGTTCATAATTGTTTTAAATTTTTTAAAAAATTGAAAAACTGATTACACCATTCAATTGTACGAAAAAAAATACAGGGTATAGCAAAAGTACCGGAACGGCAGAATAACTCGGCGGGAGAACATTTTAGAGAAAAATGTTAAATACAAAACTTTTGAGGATTTCTCCCTAGCTATCCAATGATGACCTTGACATTGACCTTGAAGATCATTTCAAGGTCAAGTGTGATTTTTCAAATGGTATCCTATACTTTTGACCTCAGAAATGAAAAGAGCGGAACATTTTACGTTTAGATATGACCTTGAATACAGCTCAGACTGCACAGACTCCTGAAGCTTTTGTATTTACTATTTTCCTCTAAAATGCTCTCTCACCGAGTTATTCTGCCATTCCTGTACTTTTGTTAGTTTGACCTTGTGGGGGCCCCAAGGTCAAAAGAGAGGGGTCACTCAAGGTCATATCTGAACGTAAAATTTTTGAGTAATTGATGATAGTTTGTTCAAATTTTTTTTTTTGAAATTGTATGGAAAAAAATACAAAAGGAACTGTCATTGTTTGACCGGAAACTTTATTTTTGTCCAGTATTGCTAAGTCGAATAATTTTGTGTCCCAAGCAGGATTACCCATTACCCAATCTGTAGTTAGAAGTCAGTTAAATTGAAAAATTGTTCATAAATTTCTTTTGTTTTAGAAAAAAATGCAAAAAGTTTAGAAAATCATGAAAAATTAATATTTTTACTTGAAATTTGGACTTGTTTTTTGAAATTTTTTGCGTTTTTTTGTTAAAAAACAAAAAAATTCTGAACGGTCCTCACAAAATTATTCGGCGTTGCAATACTGTACAAAAATAAAATTTCGGGTCAAACAATGACACAGTTTCTTTTGTATTTTCTTCCATACGATTTAAAAAAAATTTGAACAAACTATTAACAATTACTCAAAAATTTATTATTGCAAGTAACTTTTTGTTTTTTTGCATGTTTGAGCATGTTTTTCAATTGTGATTATACATTTTCTTATTTTGCCAAAAAATATGTACGAAAATGAAAATAATGGGCAACGGCAGAACTCTGTACAATGATTTTTCTAAGTAGAATATTTATTTGGAAAAAGAAGTGTTTCAGACCGGAAAAAAATTTTTAAAAAAATTAATTTTAAACGATTTTGGAAAATTTTAAAAATCTTGAGCGACCTTTAAAAATTTTTTTTCGGAATTCTGAATTTTTGAGGGTGCTCTAAAAACACGCAAACTAACATATTTTCACAAGAGACACGAAAAAACAATTCTTTTTTTTTTTGGGCCACCCTAATATATTCGTATGATTTAAGGACGGAAAGTGAAACCGAGACCACGACAACGCCCAAGCCTTTCGAGAACCGCCCAGGCGACGAGATGTCCCCCGAAGCCAACATGAGGGCCATAATAGCCTTGAGGAATGCCAAAGAGTACAGCATCGTGGGGGAGAACGGTCAGACGCAAAACATGTTCGACAAGTTGGTGATTAAAGAGCCGCTGGAATTTAGGAATCTGTCGTTTTCCGATCACCTGCAGAATATTCCTTACAACGAGACCATCTTCACGAAGAAGATGGAGGAGTATTTTTACAAGGGGCTGCATCTTACCTTTTGCAGAAAGAGGGACGACAGTCTTGCCATCGTAAGTGAAACATGAAAAAAATTTATAAATTGTGTATTTTACCTCGAATATTGAGTTCACTCGAATGAATTTCTTGCTTTTTTTGCAGAAAGAGAACATCGAGAGGCTGCCGAATTTCGAGGAATACAAAAACAAAGGCAGCATCCAGTGCAGTTCGAGAACGAAAATGCCTTTCTTTTCTTCTTCCGTGGCGGTAAAACTGACTTCTAAATTAATTCTGGCGATAACGTTATTCTTATTTTACACTTGCTAATATTTTCCGAGAACAAACATTCCGTTTTAGGCAAAATTGTATGGAAGCGGTCCCCTCTCGAAAAGAGAACGGATCTAATTTATGTTTTCGTTTCGTTAAAAATTATATTTTTATAACTTATTACTATTTATTACTTTTGTTTTACGTTTAAATTGTTTTCCTTTTTATTTAAACTGGCTGTACATAAATAGTCACTCTGTACATATCGATGTCTACCAAATAGTTAGGTTAAGCGTCTAGTTCTTACGGTCCGAATAATGCTGTGAAATTTTTTTGTACATCTTGTAGTAAGCAACTTAGTTTTAACAGTCATTTTTGTACTTAAGATTTTTACTATTTTAATAGATAAGGATAAAAAATAGTTTGTGTTTCCTTCACTTTAAAAAATGATCGACCAAAAAGTCTACTGTGGTAATGAAATATCTGTGTAAATACTTCCTCGATTTTCTTCTTTCCTGATACTGATAAAAATATTAAAAATTTCAAATAAACGATTTTAAGAAATGGAATTTGAAAGTATCAAAAATGATTTCTGTAAATACCTTTCTGCTTTCCTGATACAAAAACGCAGAATATTTGAAAATTAAATTCGAAAGTATCTAGCAATTTTTCTGTAAAGACCTTCTCAACCTTCTGCTCTCCTGATATGAATTGTCAGAATTGTAGAAAAAATATTCAAAATAGAGATTCATAAAAAAAATACCTCCTTGGCTTTCTGCTCTCCTGATACAAATTTTAAAGAACGTTGCAAAATATTTGAGAATAAGCTGATTGCCATGTTGTCGGTTTAGGCTTCTCAATGCTTCGAGAGTCATATTGCTCTCTTCTTCAGAAGAGATCTGGAACTGTTTCTTTTGAAGGTTAGAATGCTATGTCTCTCAAAATTTTGTAAAAATAAAATGTTTATCTACCATTTCAATGTTTTATTAATTGAATCAAAAAATCAAAATTATTTGTGTCTAATTAAAATAAAATAAATATTCATAGCAAACAAGTAACAAAGTAAATATATATTACAAATAAAACAACTTAAAAATAAGTAATACATGTCAGTCTACTTAAAATTTCATTTTGTTCATGAAGCAATTGATTTCCATGTTTAAATATTTAGTAAAAGTAGTCAATTACCAATACAGATCGATCAGCATCAATTACTACACATATCCTCTCTTTAAATTTTATATATCTGAATTTCTATCAGTTTTTTACTAACAGGAAAGAAACAGCAACTAATTGGAAATGATTTATTCAATTCAGTAATGATAATAGTGATGTCACCAGCAAGAATTATATGAAAGATACAAATTTAATTATTTATGCACGTAATATAAATTACAAGAATATGTAGAAATAAATAAAGTATACTTTGTTGCTATTGTCAATATTATGTGAACATATTCATAGTTGCTTTGTCGAGACCTCATCACACGTCAACAGAACTTTTCTTTTATTAGATTATACAGGACAGGATGCTCACTTTCTAGTATAATCTCATCGTAACTTAATTGCTCTTGATTTACTTGCTGTTCTTGTTGTTGTTGTTGTTGTTGTAACTGTTGCTCTTGTTGTAGCTGCTGCACCTGTTGTTGCTGGTGTAGCGGATGCTCTTGCTGTTGATGCTGCTGCAAAATATATAAAGAAACAATGCATCATTCAATTATACAATATTTTCACTTATGAAATCTTTCTATTTAAAAATTTCTCTACCGTATTAAGAATCAAAGAAGCTGCTTCCAACTTCCGAATTATTCGACCTTTTGCCATAATATTAACCCACTATTCGGTCAAGTTGTAATATAGAACTGCTGGACATCATTAGATTGAAAATGCAGATCACAAACGTACCGTTTTATTTTAAATCTGTTGACAGTCATTCACTTCATAAACTATTACCATATTTAAATTATTTTCGAAACTTTTTATTTACCATTATAAAAACAAATTGTAATAATTATTGACTTGACTTCTAGTTTTTAGGTTAATATACCTCCCCGATCCCGATATATCTACTAAACTCAATATAAAATAAAATTGGTTGTTATTTGCTTACTTCGCTCGTATTTATTATGCTACATTCATTTGGGACATATGGAACACTAGCGCCACCCCAACTTCTGCCATTTCTTGGACAAATTTTGTCAATTTTCCCGCATGAGTTTGTGCTCCTTATCTAGTCTCCCTGCTTAGAACGAAAGAATTAGTGATGGGAGAATTCGAATGCAAGAATCGATATCCATTCGATTCTTAAAAGTTCTCGCTGTTCTCGAGAACTTTTATGCCGGCATTCGAATACTTGAGAATTCATGACGAGATTTCAAGTATCCCTCAGGGCAGGTAGATAGATGGACTAGACACTAGGCGGATGTGCTTTAGAGGCCAAAATTGACTGTTTTTTAAGATTTGTTGTATTGCCAAATAATTTAAACTTTTTACTTATTTATTACTTTTTTTAAAATAATATCCCAAACTAATGATTTGCAGCCAGGCTTCATTTTAATAATAAGAATTCAATAATTATAAAATAACTAAAAACATTAATATTTAATAACGGAAAATGCTGCGTGAAACAAACCACATCTCTCGTTCGTTGCGAGATTTACCTTAATTACTAACTGCTAAGCTACCATCGATGCGAGTACGAATAAAAATATCCCAATGATGCTTTCGAATCCACACCGTGTCGCCGACATACACCGATTCTGCATTGTCGCTGTTCTCGAGTCCTGTTCTCGGATACTCATTCGGTCTCGGTCCGGTACTAGGTTCTCGGATAATCATTCGATTCTTAAAAGTATTCGAGTACCGAGTTCTCGATTCTTAAAAATACTCGATTCTGCCCATCACTAGAAAGAATACATGTACTGCTAAAATAAAAGAAAGGTTATAAAACCTTAAATGTCAAAATTGAAATTGGCGCGATATTTAAAATTAAGTGTAAATTAACATTAATTACAGTAAATTACGTAATTTACGTGTTACAAAAATTACATAAATTACATCCGTTATCTCGCAGTGCGTAATATTACGGTAATTTTACAGTAATTTATGTTAGTAACAATTTGTCATTTACATCACTAGATACGAATCGTCAGAATTGTAGAAAAAATATTGAAATTAGAGCGATTCATAAAAATACCTCCTTGGCTTCTGCTCTCCTGATATAAATTTTAAAGAACTTTGCAGAATATTTGAGAATTAAATTCAAAAGCATCAACAATTTTTCTATAAAGATCTTACCTTCTGCTTTCTGCTCTTCTGATACGAATCTTCAGAATTGTAGAGAAAATATTCAAATTAGAGGGATTCATAAAAATGCTTCCTTGGCTTTCTGCTCTCCTGATATAAATATTAAAAATTATAGAAATTTATAGACCATTAAATTGAGAAGTATCAGAATTTTTGTATAAATAAAACCTCGATCTTCTGCTTTCCTGATACAAAGTCTCGGGGAAAATAAGGGAAGAAAATATGCAAATAACATATAAAACGTCTTTATTTCTTCATAACAGATTACTTAATATAAGCAATAAGTGTAAGTAAACATTTCTAATGCATTACACATTACATTACAGTTTAGCATAGAAATGTAACCAAGTGTATTGCATCTACATATAAACCTAGATCTGTCTTTCTAAGGGGCAAGTAGTTGTCGTTAAATTATATGTACCCGTCTAAATATGGAAATAATTTGATGTAACAAAGTGTTACACTGGATCTCTCATATTTCAAAACGTGCATTTGCAAATAACTAAGGTTATATTTCAATGCTGTCGATAATAACGGACATTTATACAATTTTGCTACAAAGGGCGTTATTGTAGAACATTTTTATACGGTACAATATAAACACTTTACAAAGTAAAATAGGGTTGTCGAGAGCATCTAAGGGATATTTAATGATAAACAGTTTACAGAAGAAAAGCTTCGGTATAACAAACACAAAATCGTTAAAAAAAATACTCAAACAAATCGATTACTTGAGTAAATGGCAACTTGAGCTTTTTCTGGCATTTTTGGAGGGATTGTAAGGGTATACAAGGTGTCTCGTTTTACTGTTCCAAGCCGCCTAATTTTTTTAATTTGACTTTTATAAAAAAAATATTTCGAACAAAAGTTATCAGGTTTTAAATTATGGTGACCTTGAACTCAATTTTCAAGGCCAACCTTGATTTTTCTTAATGAAAACCCGTATTTTTTATTGCAGATTCATATTTTACGGGAAAAAATACGTAACAGTTTTGGTCGTGTTACACTTGTTTCGTAAAATTTTTTATTGATCCCTTCCAACAAAATTAAAAACCAAATTAATTGAAATTTTTAAAAACTACAAGAATGGTAAAAGAATAATTTTTGTCTTGGAAATTAATAAATTTTAAATTTGGTGTCCCATTTTAATGTACCAGGCCGCATTATTTTTTTAATTCGACTTTTATTAAAAAATATTTTGAACAAAAGTTATCGGGTTTCAAGGTTATGTCGACCTTGAATTTGACCTTGAAATTAATTATCAAGGTCATTTCAAGGTCAATCTTGATTTATTAATTGGAAATCCATATTTTTATTACAGTTTCGTATTCTGCGGGAAAAAATACGTAACTTCTGTATGAAACATTTCCCTTGAAACGGCTTCTTACAATAAAAATATGGGTTTCCATTAAAAAAAAATCAAGGTTGACCTTGAAATGACCTTGATAATGGACTATGGCAAATTTCAAAGTCACGGTAATTTGAGCCCACCGGAAACCTGACCAATTTTGTTGGAAATATTTTTCACCATCCGACTTATTTCTTGAGATACATATTAGTTTGAGAATTAAAATGGAACAGAAAAGTATAGCGCACTCTGGCGAGAGAATGAAGCATTTTCAAAAAAATGTCTCATACAAAAGTCATGTATTTTTTCCTGCAGAATAGAATCTGCAATAAAAATACGGGTTTCCATTTCACCAATCAAGGTTAACCTTGAAATGATCCTGATAATTGTCTGTAAGGTTAATTTCAAGGTCAGGGTAACTTGATCCCCCCGAAACTTGACTAATTTTGTTGGAAATATTTTTTTACCGTCCTGTTTATTTCTTGAGATATTATTAGTCTGAGAATTAAAATGGAACAGTAGAGTATAGCGCACTCTGGCGAGAGAACGAAGCATTTAAAAAAAAATGTCTCGTACAAGTTACGTATTTTTTCAAGGTCATTTCAAGGTCAACCTTGATTTTTTAAATGGAAACCCATATTTTATTACATGAAGCTTTTTCAAAAAAATGTTTCATACAGAAGTTACGTATTTTTTCCCGCAGAATACGAAACTGTAATAAAAATATGGATTTCCATTTAATAAATCAAGATTGACCTTGAAATGACCTTGATAATTGACTTCAAGGTCAAATTCAAGGTCACCATAATTTAACTCCCTCGTAAAATGATAACTTTTGTTGGAAATATTTTTTTTATAAAAGCCGAATTAAAAAAAAATTGCAGCCTAGTACCCCGAATTTAAAATTTATTCATTTCCAAGACAAAAATTATTCTTTGACCATTCTTGTAGTTTTTAAAAATTCAATTAATTTGGTTTCTAACTTTTTTTGGAAGGAATCAATAGAAAATTATAGGAAACAAGTGTAACAAGACAAACTATGGTTTTAAACCAAATTAACAGAATAATGCACTTTTTTTTAACGAGGGTGACGACTAAGAATTAATATTTGATATTTGGTGATGACGTATAACTGTCCTTTAAAAAAAAAAACAAAAAAACTAGGGTCGACATTTTCAAAAAATCATCGAAAAATCAATGACATTTTAAGTATCTCCTGGTTGGAATACCCTGCCACGCAATTTTTTAAACAATTTTGTGTTTGATACACCAAAAATATTCAAAGTTTGTGATTTTCACTGTAAACTGGAACTAATTATTTGTATTTTTTTTTTTTTCAGTAATTACAATCTCCTTTAAACATATAGTCCAACAAAATTACACTTTAAGAAAAAAAAATTGTAACCTGGACTTTTATAAGTGGAAATGATAAAAGGGCTTATAATAAATCTAAAAAAAATAAATGTGTGAGCAGGGGCGGCGGAGGGTTGATTTGGGGGGTTGAAAAGTTATGAAAAATTGTATCATTGGGATTTCTGGCGAAAGTTGACGTCAAACAAAAAAGTATCCAATACAAAAGTTGTAGATCATGCAAAAATCTACAATTTTTGTAGAAATCACTTTTTAACATAACTTCAAAATTTGCGAGAAAAATGCGAAAAACAGTTTTTTTTCTGATTTTTCGTTTTTTATTTCTCATTTCCGCAAAAATAATTTACTTTTGACGAAACTTGTAGAAAGTATACCTTTCTCTGTCTTAAATAACCTCAAATTTTTTTAGATTAAAAAATCGACAAGTCTCGGATACTCATTTTTTTCGGCCTGAAACACTTTTTTTTCAAAGAAAAATTCTACTTAAAAAAATCATCTTACAGAGTTCTGTCAGTAATCATTTTTTTCGTTTTGACATATACTTTTTGGTGAAATAAAAAAATCTGAAATAACAGTTCAAAAACACTCAAAAATGCAAAAAAAATAAAAAATTATTTGAAACAATGAATTTTTCAGTAATTCTTGATAATTTGTTTAAATTAAAAAAATATTCAAAAACTGATTACACCACTCAATTCTACGGAAAAAATTAAAAAACTCAAATAATCGGTTTTTGATTTTTTTAAATTTAAACAAATTATCAACAATTACTGAAAAATTCATTGTTACAAGTCATTTTCTATTTTTTTTTTGCATTTTTGAGCATGTTTTTGAACTGTGATTACAAATTTTTTTAATTCACCAAAAAGTATAAGATGTCAAAACGAAAAAATGATCACCGGCAGAACTCCGTATGATGATTTTTTTAAGTAGAATTTTTCTTTGAAAAAAAAGTGTTTCAGGCCGAAAAAAATGAATATCTGAGAAACTTCTTGATTTTTTTATCTAAAAAAATTTGAGGTTATTTAAAACAGAGAAAGGTATACGTTCACCAAGTTTCGTCAAAATTAAATTATTTTTGCGGAAATGAGAAATAAAAAACCTGTTTTTCGCATTTTTTTCGGAAATTTTGAGGTTATGTTAAAAAGTGACCTCTACAAAAGTTGTAGATTTTTGCATGAGCTACAACTTTTGTATTGGATACTTTTTTGTCTGACGTCAACTTTTGCCAGAAATCCCAATGATGCAATTTTTCACAACTTTTCCACCCCCCAAATCAACCCTCCGCCGCCCCTGCTCACGCATTTATTTTTTTTAGGTTTATTATAAGCCCCTTTATCGTTTCCACTTATGAAAGTCCAGGTAACAATTATCTTTTTTTTTCCCCTCTAAATAAGTTATTTTGATCGATCTAATAATAAAAATCTGCTTTTAAAAAATCTATAAAAAATAAACAAACATCGAATTCTGAACATAAATTATAAAAAAAATGGGCAAGATCCAAGGAAACATAAAAATTAAAAATTCTAACCACTACTACCTCCCTGTTTCAGCTTCACTTCGCTCCTATGTTTGATTCCGTGCAGCCTAACGTGATACTCGTACCGCAGACCCGCGCCGCAAACGTCGCACCTGAACAGCCTGTCCCTCGAATGGGCGAGGACGTGGTAAGCGTAAGTCACCTGCGACCTACACTGCCGCTTACAATACCCGCACCTGCGTACGTTCCACTCCAGCCTATTCCTGAAACACTCGTGTCTCTTGAAGACCGTATTGAACTTGAACGATTTCTCGCACACGTTACACTGGTACTTGTTCTTCTGGTGCGTCAGCCTGTGCACCCGCAACGACTCCTTGGACTTGTACCGCTTGTCGCACATGTCGCACTGGAACGGACGGGCGCGGGTGTGCGTGAAGGAATGTTTCCGTAGGATCGACTGCTTCTTGAAGCGTTTGTCGCACAACTTGCACTGAAACGGCCTCTTGTCGGAATGTATGGGCATGTGCTTCGACACGCTCTGTTTGGTACGGAACGCTTTGTCGCAAACGTTGCATCTGTAGTTCTTGACGTTGGCGTGGACGTTCAGGTGGTCGGTGAGGTCGCGTTTGGAGGAGAAGGTCTTCTCGCACAGGTCACACTTGAATTTTTTGTAGTTCTCCTCGTGGCGCTTGATGTGCGCCTTGAGGTAGCGCGGGAACTCGAACTGCTTGTTGCAGATGTTGCAGGTGAAGTCCTCGCGCAGGGGCTCCTCCTGGTGGCTCTTGCGGTGGTTTTCCATCGACTTCTCGTCGTAAAAGACCAGGTTGCAAATGTCGCACGACCTAAACATTACATCGGATCATTTAATATACAGGGTATTCTGTAATGTTTTACCTGCACGTTCAGAGAATAAATATAAGATAAAGTCTGAGTAAATATAAAAAGGGAAATGGTTCTCAGGGCTCCTTAAGGGGGCAAACCACATCAGGAGGTTTAAAAACCATATTTCTTTTATTGCATAAATACATAAATTTTTTATTGGATAACTATTCAAGTGTTATCTGGTACTAGAATCGATAAATGATCGGAAAGCACTCTCCATTATTGATAACTTTCTCAAATTTCTAAATCTTTAAATGTGTTTTTCTCGAAACAAAATTTTTTTAATTCACGGGAAGTCTACCTCAAAAAGTTATGAACCGATCGTTATGAAAATTGAAAGTGTGTTTCTTTATAAAAATACAAAGAACATGAACCAACAATTGGGATATCATAAATTTAAAGGAGTGTTTTAGCCAAAACAAGTGAAAAAAATGGTGAAAATCAATACATTTTTTGAAACACGTGTTAAAACTTCAATTTTCTCAATTTTTACCCGCATATTCTTTAAAAACATATTAACAATGCAAGAAAACAACCATTTTGCGTTCAGATCAAAATTGCGACCTCCACATTTCCTGTGAACAACCAACTCAGACAACGACCTTCGCTGGACAACAACCCATAACTTTCAACACAAGTGATTTGAAAAAATTTGTAAATGTAGCTCAAAATGTTAATAAAATAATGTCAAAGTTTCAAAAAAATTCTAATCAATCTGTCTCACTCAAAAAAGTTAATGAGAAACAACTGAAAATCAGTCTCCTGATAATTTTTTTTCTTATCTTTAGTTGTAAAGTATATTCTAGTGCAAAAATAGTAGACAGTGACTCAATCTCAACATGTAGATCCGCTTGATGGGTAAGTACTGTGGGGGAATGCAATTCCATGGGTGAATCATGGGTTCCAAAAATGTATTTATTTCTTTCCTATGGGCTTAAACTCATTTAAGTTTAACACAAAGCGAGTAAAATGTCACTTCATTTGATAAGACTTTTTATAGAAAACTTTTGAATTTGTTTGAATTAGTTTTAAAATAGAGCAAATAATACGAAAGCTAATAATAAAATACATATTTTTTAAAAAGGAGTAGGGGTATTATAGAATAGAGACTAACAAAGAAAAAGTATTAACAATAATTTAAATTAAATTTGTAGCAGCCGTTTTAGGAATTTAATTTATTTGGCAAACCTAGAAGCCCTACTTATACAGGGTGTCCCAGAATAACGTGTACACTGGAAGATTACAGATTCGTGGACTCAAAATAGGCAGATTTAGGCTAATTCACCTATATCCAAAATCGCTTCGTTTGGCCTATAGATGGCCTCAAAATTCATGAAAATTGTATAAATTTTGTAAATAATTCATATACGTATTATTCAATTTTGATTATTTTTGAGATGTGAACTTTTGCTTTCAATCTACACATTTTGGTGTTATACAGAGTGTTTTTTAAAACCTACAACTCCTACAAACTTGATGTATGGTGACAAAAGCGTTCATAATTTTTTTCTCTTTCGGACAATAATGACAACAATTTTTTATTTGATAAGTGATACCATTTGGAAGTTTTTGGACCTCTTGTAGAATTTTGATTAAATACTGAAAAATTCATTGCTGCAAATCATTTATTTTTTTATTGCATTTTTGAGCATGTGATTACAGATTTTTTAATTTCACTGAAAAGTATATGTCAAAACGAAAAAAATGATCACCGGAAAAACTCTGTACGATAATTTTTCTGACTGGAAAAAATAAATATCTCCGAAACTTCTTGATTTTTTTATCTAAAAAAATTTGAGGTTATTTAAGAAAGAGAAAGATATACTTTCATCAAGATTGGTCAAAATTAACTTATTTTTGTGGAAATGAGAAATAAAAAACGAAAAATCAGAAAAAAACTATTTTTCACATTTTCTCGGAAATTTTGAGGTTATCTTAAAAAGTGACCTTCACGAAAATTGTAGATTTTTGCATGATCTACAACTTTTCTATTGGATATTTTTTTGTTTGACCTTAACTTTCGCCAGAAATCCCAATGCTACAATTTTTCACAACTTTTCAACCCCCCGAATCAACCCTTCGCCACCCCCGCTCCCGCATTTATTTGTTTTAGCTCTATTATAAGCCCTTTTACCAGTTCCACTTATAAAAGTCCAGGTAACAATTTTTTTTCTCCAAGTGTAATTTGGTTGGACTAAGTTGTACCAATTCCAATACAATTATTGAAGTAAAATTGTAACAGTGGCTCTTTTAAATCAGTCTAAATATTCTAAAATCATCGTAGTGAGAGAGCGATAATTTCTGCCTCCAGCTATAACGCCTGTGCACCTGACCCCGCAGCGATGCCATAGAAATGTACAGAGAAGGGACTCTTAAGCTGGTGTTTAAGATAATTCATGTCACTTCTTCAACTGATATATACTAATTATTTTCGATCTGATCAAAGTTATTGAAAGGCATTTTTCTATATTCAGAGACAATCCATTATTTTATGAATTCAATCCATAAGACCGAATATTATGGCAATCAAAAGCTGAATTATTTGTAGAGAATTTTAGATCATCAGAAAACAGAAGGAAATTGGAATGCTTAAAACGACTTATGTCATTAATAAATACATGGCAACTAAACGGGCCTAGATGAGAACCTTGTGGAACTCCTGAAGGTGCTAGACTGAGACAGGGTGGGATTTCAAGAAGTCAAACCATTCGACTGAAGCAGTATGGTTTGAATTACTGAAACAGTCTCTGTTGTTGTATACGATAAGCAAAAATAGAAATAGGCGCTTGTAACAATAGACATTACGATTGTAGGGAATAAACAAGAAAGATTTATCAGACCAAGAATTACAAACTCCATCGTACTACTTTAGTACTAGAATATAATCAGTAAAATGGAAAATAATGAACAGGGTAAAAAAATTAAAAAAGATAAATCTCACAAAATAAAAAAATAATCATACCTCGGCTGGTGCATCTTCTCAATATGCTCCTTCAGTCCGAAATAGAACGTCTTGTTGCCGCAATACTCGCAGTTCCCCGACTGTTTCAACTCAATATGTTTGTTCTTGTGCGCCGTGTACTCCTGACCGTTCGCCATCCTTTCCCCGCACAGTTGGCACTTGAGCGGGTCGACGTCCTTATGGATGGCCATGTGCTGTTTCAAAGCCTGCTTGCTGGTGAAGGCTTCCTTGCAAAAGTGGCACTTAAAGGAGCGTACGGTTTCGTGCATTACTCTTATGTGTCTCCGAAGGCTTGTCGCAGTAGCAAAAGCGCCCTCGCATATCTACAAAAGCAAGTTACTGTTAATCTTTTTTCCAAACTGGAGAAATAGAAAACTCACTTTACATTTGAACCTTTTCTCGCCGGTATGTACTACTTCGTGATCCTTAAGGGTGGTGATTTGTTTAAAGGCTTTTCCGCACTCCGTACACATGTAAGGCCTGTCGTTGCTGTGCACTCGTTGGTGTAGTTTCGTTTCCCTAGAAGTCGGGAAGGTCCTCTCGCAATTCGGACACTTAAAGGGCTTAGCGCACATATGTTTTCGCACGTGTCCCACAAACTGGAACCTGTTCTTCACGAACTCTTTGCAGATGAAACAGTTGTGATCGGGGGAGTGAATCATGTTATGAATTTTTAGCTCGTGTTCGTTAATGAATATTACCTCGCAGGTCTTGCATGTTACTTTCTCCTGATTTAAATCACCTGGTTCTATGATTTCTACTTTTAATTTATTGGCTGCCAGGTGTCCAGTCCAGTCCCCACTGGAGTCGCAGAAATCAATATCCGTCTCGGTTTTTATCAAAGCTACTTCTGGTGAAAGGGCAGAGTTTGAAGTATGAGTATCCATTTCAGATTTAGTTGCATCTAAAACAACGTTAAGCAAAGATTTTTATTTATTTCCTACTGTTTCTGTGCATCTAGAAATTAACCTAATTACTGAATTTAACATATTTTTCTGTTGATTTTGACACTTCTTGCAACATTTTGTCCTTGTTAGTTAAACATCTAGGAAAATTTGTGTTAATTTGATAATGTTGGTGCAACTGATAGATCAAGATAACTACTACAGATAGGCGTTTTCGGAAATTTACTCGGGTTAGTTGTTTGTAATCGGAGCAGTCACATTTCTAAACAAGATCGAATTTGTTCCATGATTGTAAATACGTACATGGCTGTTATTGTAATATATGTTTTATTGTTTTATGGCTGTTGTTCTAGACATTGAACAGAATCCTGGTTTTGAAGATATATGATATTACGGTTACATTTTTAAATTTCGATGATTAGGTGATCTTCGTTTACCCGGAGTAAATTTCCGAAAACGCCTTGCGATTAAAATTTCAATTTGAGAACGAGTTCCATAACCTATAAATTCAAAATTTATCGTTTTTTTGTTGTGATGTCGATGCAGATTTCAGTGTACAAAAGTTAAAAAATGTTAATTACATTGTAAATAGCAAGATATATGACAAATATTGCGTATTTCGCTGTATATCACTATTATGAATAAAATTTCACCTCAAAAAACATTTTACGGCCAAAAACAAACGGCCAAATGCGCTTTAACATCTCAAGATAGGTTTTGTGTTGAACTGACAGGTTTCAGTAATGAAGCCTTACAAATATTTAAAACCATCCCATCTAGATCCTATGGTAAGTTTAAATGTTGACAAAAGAAAAATATGAAGTTACAAGGTTCTATTACAGATCCAAAGACTCGAAACTGGAGCTTTCATATTAAGGATTACGAAATGCTTATCTCTAAACTACGAACCTTGCAAGCTAAACTGAATGTGGAGAAGATACCAGGATTTGTATTGAACTGTATAAGGGTTCCTCAAGATGAAGTTATCATTGATTATACCAAACTGGATCCTGCTTTGAGTAGCACTTTGCTACCGTTTCAACTAGAGGGATTAAGGTGAGAGTGTCTGTACGGTAAAATGGTTTTCTTAATAATCATAAAATAAATTTGTAGTTTTGGTATCGATAAAAAGGGAAGATGCCTTATAGCAGATGACATGGGGCTTGGAAAAACGTTTCAGGCCTTGGCTATTGCTAACTATTACAAGGAGGACTGGCCTATGCTGATAGTAACAACAGCTAGTATGAAGTAAGTAAATTGAATCTAAAATTTGTAAAATATAATTATACTTCAAAAAAGCTTATACGTGAATTTATTTTAGAGCCGTTTGGGAAGAAACCATTAGAAATTATTTGCCTTCAGTTCCGAACATACAAGTCCAGTACATGGTTTCTGGAAGAGATTACATCGGAGATTCAAAAATACTAATCGTATCTCACGACATGATGTCTCGCGCCCTGGACGGGTTATTAGATAGATCTTTCGGTGTCCTCATCATCGACGAATCGCACGTTTTGAAAAGTTTCAAAACGAAATGTTACAGATCCGCCCACCATCTGGCGAAAAAAGCTAGGAGAGTAATTCTGCTTAGCGGTACCCCCGCACTGTCCAGACCATGCGAGTTATTCACCCAACTCAACATTATAGACGACAAATTCTTCGGCAACTTTTTCGACTTCAGTAAGCGTTACTGCGACGCCAAACAGACGATTTTCGGGTGGGACGCCAGCGGCAAATCCAATCTGAAGGAGCTGGAGATCATTCTGGCAAAAAAGTTCATGATTCGTAGGACGAAAGAGGACGTATTGAAGGCCTTGCCCAACAAAAAGCAAGAGATTGTTACGTTAGATACTAAACTGGAGGAGTTTTCGGAGGAGGATAGGGAGTGCCTTATCGCTTTGGGAAAGAAATATAACAGCCACAAGAGGAGCGCCGAAAGACATGCTCTTCTGTTGACGTACTTTTCTGAGACTGCTAAAATAAAGATACCGTCGGTTTGGTAAGTGTATGGATTAACATCTATTATGTTACGTGATTTATACAGAGCGTTTTGAAGCTATTAGCGAAAACAGAGTTACGTAACCTGAAAGTAATTTTTTTTTAATTAATATATGTGTTTTGAAAGTATGAGGCAAAAACTTTGGGAGCGATTCAAGTTGTGATTTTTGAAAAAATCGATATCATCTGAGTTACATAACTTCTATTTAACTTTCTTTTAATGAATGTCGGCAGCACAAAAAACAAATATCGATTTAGTTTCAAAGCTACACATTCTCCATTAATTACTATAATTGTATCCAGGGTGTTATCAGGATAATAATTCATTGAGATCGACGGTATATGGTCATGTAACGTCATTAGTATTGAGTTTTTGAGTACACTACACCCAAAATATATGAAGTGTATTCTGTATTTTTGTTTTCAGTTCGCATATTCTGCAAATGCTAGAGAAAAAAGTCAAATTCCTGGTTTTCGCCCACCACCAGGTCATGTTGAACGCCATAGAGGATATAGTGAAGAAGAAGAACCTGAAATACATCAGGATCGATGGCAGCACCACTTCAGACCAAAGAAAATATTTCATCTCCAAGTTCCAGTTGGACGACAGCTACCTGTGCGCGATTCTGTCGATAACGGCGGCTAATGCGGGCATTACGCTTACCGCTGCTAAATATGTAATATTCGCGGAACTGCACTGGAATCCTAGCGTAAGTATAATGATTTATTTTAAAACGTTTCTCTCCAGTTTACTCCAAGATAGTAAATAGTACAGTCATTGAAGTTGAAAATCAGCTGTAACCTCCGAATTCTTTAAAACTGCGTGGATTTGCCTGAAAATTTAGAATAAGGCTCATCTTAGGCTCAAGTTCAAAAGTGACATAAGCCCGAATGATGCTTTTTATTTTTTGAAAAAAAAAAAAATTTTTAAATTAAGTTTTAAGCATTTTATTGATAAAAATCTTGTTCAAGCACAAAGATTAAATAATGTTCCATGTTCTTGAACATGTTTTATGATATATTTGATCTTTTCGACCCTTTATTTAACCTTTAAAAACTACCTCTATGCAAAAAATAATGATAAAAAATTACTTTTTAAAGATTTGGAATGATTAAATCGTGCAATTATTTAAAATAAAAGTTACCTTATAGCTAATAAAAGAATTTTTCCCTTTCAACCCCTAAAAACCACCCCTGTATTGACAAAAATGATAAAAAATTACTTTTTAAAAGCTTGGAATGCTTTAACGGTGCAATTATTTAAAATAAAAATTCCCTCATTGCTTATGAAAGAATTTGTATCTCATAACACTTTTCAACCCTTATAAATCACCCCTGTGCTAAAAAAATGATAAAAAATTACGTTTTAAATCTTGGAATGCTATAATTGTGCAATAATTTAAAATAAAAATTCCCTTATATTGTTTATGAAAGAATATTTTACTTTTGCCATTTTCAACTCTTATAAACTACCCTTTTACCAATATTAATGTAAAATATTTTTATTATAATCGATTTTTAAATATAATCAATCATAAAAAAAATTGCTACGCTGCATATAAATAATCACACTAAATTTTTTTGCTTATTTTATTTGTATAATATAATATACAGTGAGCGCCAAAAGTATGGAATATATTTATTTAAAAATCAGATATTCGTTATTTGAAAAATCGCTCGGACCCGTCGAATGATATTTTTAGTTGCGCATTTTCTGAAGCAATTTTCATTTATACAGGGTGGCCCAAAAAAAAGTTATGAAATCAAGGCCAACTTTTTTTAATGGAAACCCCCTTTTTTATTTTCATTCAATTCTCCATGGAATTCTGATCATTTTTTATGTAACATAACCTATACCTATCTTTAACCGTTCTCGAGATTTCGAGAGCGTTTGAATATAGAATACGGAAAATTTTCAAAAATTACTTAATTTTTAGCACCGAAACACTTATGGATTTTTCTGATTTAAAGCAACTTGCTGTGAACCACACAAATCTAAGATGGAAAAGTAAACGTGGTTTTATTTTAAAACCAGCAGGGTAAATCTCGGGGTAATTTTTGAAAATTTTCCATATTCTATATTTAGACGCCATTATCTTGAAAACAGTTAAAGATTATGTTACAATCAGAATTCCATGGAGAATTGAATAAAAATACAAAAAAGTGGGGTTTCCATTTAAAAAAGTTGGCCTTGATTTCATAACTTTTTTTGGGCCACCCTGTATAAATGAAAATTGCTTCAGAAAATGCGCAACTAAAAATATAATTCGACGGGTTCGAGCGATTTTTCAAATAATGAACATCTGATTTTTAAATAAATATATTCCATACTTTTGCCGCTNTATAATATACAGTGAGCGCCAAAAGTATGGAATATATTTATTTAAAAATCAGATATTCGTTATTTGAAAAATCGCTCGGACCCGTCGAATGATATTTTTAGTTGCACATTTTCTGAAGCAATTTTCATTTATACATGGTGGCCCAAAAAAAAAAGTTATGAAATCAAGGCCAACTTTTTTAAATGGAACCCCCCTTTTTTTATTTTTATTCAATTCTCCATGGAATTCTGATCATTTTTTATGTAACATAACCTATACCTATCTTTAACCGTTTTCGAGATTTCGAGAGCGTTTGAATATAGAATACGGAAAATTTTCAAAAATTACTTAATTTTTAGCACCGAACCACTTATTTCTTATGGATTTTTCTGATTTGAAGCAACTTGCTGTGAACCACACAAATCTAAGATGGAAAAGTAAACCTGGTTTTATTTTAAAACCAGCAGGGTAAATCTCGGGGTAATTTTTGAAAATTTTCCATATTCTATATTCAGACGCCAATATCTCGAAAACAGTTAAAGGTTATGTTACAATCAGAATTCCATGGAGAATTGAATAAAAATACAAAAAAGTGGGGTTTCCATTTAAAAAAGTTGGCCTTGATTTCATAACTTTTTTTGGGCCACCCTGTATAAATGAAAATTGCTTCAGAAAATGGGCAACTAAAAATATAATTCGACGGGTTCGAGCGATTTTTCAAATAATGAACATCTGATTTTTAAATAAATATATTCAATACTTTTGCCGCTCACTGTATAATATAAAAATGAGAAAGCCTATTTTGCTCCGAAAAAATGGCATTGGTTTTTTCACCATAACTCGCTTAATTTTGAAGCTATAGTATCCTACAAAAAAACCATTTTAAAGATAATTTCAAGAGTTGTAAGATCGTTTGCATATAAAACCTTTTACCTACGACCACTAGTGTAAATACTTAAAAACACACCGTCTGCGATCAATGTAAGATTCCAATTACGTACGGTAAAAAAATGCACAGTTTTCCTAGCAACGGCCAATACAATACTGTTTGTATTGATCGTTGCTAGGCGGTTGCTAGGAAAACTGTGCGATTTTTTTACCAAGCTGTGCGTTTTTTTTACCGTACGACGTAATAGGAATAATAATAATAAGAATACTTCAAGTGGCGATATCTCCTTTATTTTTTATGCTACAGGAATAAAAAAAGCAAAATGTTTGTTGAAAAAAAAGCTACATTTTTGTTGTCTATCATTTTTACGTGTCTTTCATAGTTTCAGAGTTATTATATAAATAAGGCATTTTTTATAATAATGAAAAATACGTTTTCAACTTTTACCGTACATTATTCAAAAAATACGCATTCTAAACCGGTCTAACTTATGAAAAAACACTAAAACAAAACTAATTGTAAAGGGTCTATGATTAATTTTAATTCTAATGGAAATGGTACAGCGTTTACTGCCCATTTTTCCTTAAAAAATATGAGCAACCCATCTGTTTTTGACGATAACTCCTTCAATTTTGCTCTACAAAAGTACTACAAAAAACTCCCGGAGCGTTATAGACATAAAATTAATCCTTTTTCCGTTATTTGACGTTGAATACATCGATTCGAGTATTCCCCCCAAAACAAGTCCCCTTCCACTAACCATATTTCGCTTTGTATAGGACGAACAACACATTTTAAAAAACGATTTTCTTTGTTTATTTATAAGCTACATTTTTGTTCATTACACTTTTTTAAATAAAATGCGTAGTTTTTGAGTTATTCGCGAAAAATACTTTGAAAGTGTTTTTTTCACTCAAAATTTCAAGTTTTCAATCGTGAATGAGTAAAAAACTCAAAATTTTGATTCTCTATCGATCTCCAGTGTTATTTTTCCACCCCCAACAGGGTGGAAGCGTCAATCGGCGCTATGTCACTAATGTTCATTGACCTTTTCTCTAATTATCTGCCAAATTTCAAGTCGATCAGATCAGTTTCAAAGAATTCGGAGGTGAAAAGCTTCAATGACTGTACTAAAATTCAATTATTTACGACTGCTCTAATTATCAGATTGAGCACTAACATTCACACGTGTTTCTATTTTCAACAACACTTATTGGTATAACTGAAATGTGAGAATAATAACACAGTTTTCGCGTATTCGCGCATATGACATGAAAGGAAACGCCTCAACTGGAAACAGACGACAGTGTCTCTTTTTGTTCACGATAATCGAAAATAGAAATGATGCCTACGAGCAAGTGGTGACGTCACTACAGAACAAGACTGACGAAAACATGGCACATGAAAATGCCATATTCAATTTCCGTCCAAAGAATACACAAAATCATTTTATCAAATTAAATCACGGTAAAAACTGTCATGTGATTTATTTATAACGTTTTCCCTTTCAGATTATAAGCCAGGCCGAGGCTAGGGCACACAGGATCGGTCAAGAGGACACCGTTATCGTCCAGTACCTGATAGCCCAGAACACCTCCGACGAGTCCATGTGGCTCTTGCTCCAAGAGAAACAGGAGACTCTGAAGCAGTTTGGTCTGTGCAAGGAGAATTTCGACAATGTGGAAGTGAAGAAGCAGGAAAACACTGCGGTAACGAAAGGGCTCGAGTTGAACGTCAGCGTCGCGTGTAGTTCTATGGATATAAGATCGTATCTCTCTCCTCAGAAGAAACGGAAGCATTCCGAGAGTGAGATAGAGGATATGTTCAACGACGGGTTCGACGAGATCCTGTGCAAGCACGTGGCGCTTCAAGAAGAGGAACTTTTTAACGACGGGATGGACGAGATACTGTGTGATATAGATTTTTAAAGTTAACGTTTTTGCGGTAAAAGTTGATACATGTCGATATTGAGGTTATGTTACGGGTTAGACATTTTTTTTATGTCGGCTTACGCTTAAGTTTCAATCCTTTTAGTTTAAATCTTTAAACAAAACCTCGGCAAAAAAATTATTTTTGTGTAATTTTTTTTTTTACTTTTACTTATACTCTCAAATAATAAAATATATTTATTCTATTTTTTTTTTATTCATATCAAATCTATTTTACATTATTGGAACTTTAACTGTCTCCAAGTAGCTAAGAATTTTCTGAGATATGAATTACAATTTTACAAATAAATTATTGCTATTTATCCTCATTTTATTATTTTTTCCTGTTTTTCTTCAATATTTAATGCTCCATTTCCAAAAAAAGGGCGCCAAACCGAAACTCGTCCGTCAAACCCTAATTGGCGCTATATGAGGCTAAAATCTCTAGATATTGATAAAACACCACAATCGACTGCTATTCTGGTGTAAAATCACTATTGCCGTGAATTAATAATTACAAGTTAAAATTTTCTATACAGGGTGTAAATAAATAAGCGAGAAAATTCAAGGGTGATTCCCTGTGGAAAAATAAGGTGGGTCTTTCATTTGAACAGCCCCTGTGAAGAATAGGGTGCCAAAAAAGTAGTTTTTAATTTTTTCTGAAATACCAAAAAAGTAACAAATGAAATTAAGTAGACGTTTTCTGCTATCAAGAAGGCACTCAGTAAAAATTTGTTAATTTTCTCCTATAGTTGTAAGAGGTATAAAAAGCCATAATAAGACTTGTTTCATAAGTAACTTTTTTTTTTGTTACTATCTTACCATTTAAAAAATAAATTCAGATAGCCTGATTCATTCTAAACACAAAAGGTATCTTGTAATTTTTTCGCAAAATTAACGGTTTCTGAGCAAAAAAATAATTTCAAATCAATTACAAGACTTAGGATTCAATATTTTTCGAACTATAATTTATCTAGTAGGCGACTGTCACGTTGACATTTCGTAATGGCATTGTTAGTAAGGTCACATAAGCCGGTCAAATTAGACCAAAAAATAAGAGTGAAGGTACATAAATTTAAAAGCTGAAAGTGAGTAAAATTGTTTAAAACAATTAAAAATAACATATTAAAATTCCTCATCGTTCCGGTACTCGGAAAACAATTTACTCGAGGTCAAAGGTCAAAAAAATGGGGTTTTCGCCATTTTCAGCTAAACGGTAAGTTTTATCATAAAATTACTTCTGACAAAAATTGTAGATCATAAAATTATCTATAAAAAATGTATCGATACTTTTCTTTCCTAAGAGCCACCGTTTCTGAGATATAACGATTCAAAAAGTTGTAAAAGTTGTAATCGTCATAATATGCATAAGTACACTGTAACTGTAAGAAGACATGCAGTGCTAAATGTGGTTGCAAAAAAGTTGGACTGTCTTGTTCTCTGACTTCTCTGGCATGTACAAATTGTCAAGGCTGGTCGTGTTCTAATCTAATGTTGAATCACCAACAGACCAACAGTAGAGGATTCGTTTGATACCAACGAGGAGACATCACTATTGACGCAATTTACTTACACCCAGAATGAAGAAGAAGAAGATCAAGACGAAGAGCAAGAAGAAGTATTTGAAGGTTATGGATCAGACGAATAAATTCTTTTTTTAAATTTCCATCGCTTTTATCATGTCCAACCCTTGCTAATACTTATCTGTTATTATGCAATAGTTTCAAACTAAACAGAATCACAACAGACCTGTGGAATAGGCCTACTGGAGAAACCACGTTAAATAAAACGTTTTAAGTGCACTACCTCATACTCCTCATAGTAGGGATGTGCGATACGATACGATAATTCAGAGTATCGATACTTTTGTCCGATATTTTGTATCGATATTTTCTATGCAATACATTACGAGTATCGATACTCTTGCCTGTATATCGGAACCGTACGATCCGAGCGTCGCCTATTATTCAGCAGCATAATATAATAGTAGAAATAATATCCCTTCGTGTGCATCCAGTAATGTTACACGTCTGTTTACTGGTTACAGATAATAGGGCCTTTCGATTTGGCAAAAATAATAGCTATTAGTAGCTAATAGCAACTTAGAGTTACTCTGAACTGATTGATATTAGTTAATAGTACTAATAAGTACTATTTTTGCCAAAACGAAAGCCCCCAATTTTTTATTGCTGTTAACATATACATATATGTTTGTATTATGATGTTATAAAATGTTCGCATACTTACAAACATATAAAGTGAACTAATTTTCAAATGGAATTTCTTCTGTTGTTGCTTCTGGGCTGACATCTTATAATTAACAGATATTTGTTTTGTCACAGTAACCATAGAAAATATAGTACGTTAGTACTATATTTTCTATGACAGTAACTCTGAATCGAAAATGTACCGATATTTTAAGTATCGATGTTTTTCAACACGATATTTTACTGTATCGATACTATTTTTGCGATCCGTATCGAGATAAGGTATCGATATTTTCTGCAGTATCGCACATCCCTACCTCATAGGTGGCGTGGAAACGTGTGCATATTATGATGATTACAACTTTTTGAATCGTTATATCTCAGAAACGGTGGCTCTTAGGAAAAAAAGTGTTGATACATTTTTTATAGATAATTTTATGATATATTATTTCTGTCTGAGGTAATTTTATTATAAAACCTACCCATTTTTTTGACCTTTGATCTCGAGTAAATTTTTTTCCAAGTACCGCCGGAACGATGAGGAATTTTAATATGTTATTTTTAATTATGTTTTGAACAACTTTACTCACTTTCAGCTTGTTGTAAATTTATGCATCTCTGAATGTCTAGATTGACCGGACTAACAGGTCTGTGGTAAAGTTACAGCATACGCCAGAACAATGGACTGGCCCTAGAAAGCGCGTGCAAGGCAGATAGAGCTAGTGCAGGCAAATACCGGTAAAACAAATAATAGTACACTGGCACAGAAAATAACATATCTTTGACTTTAAATTTCTATAGTTATTACATTCCCCCGTTAATACCTCCAATTTGTACAGAAATTCTTTATAAACAATTAGTGCTTATACCTATTATTCATTAATAATAATTAAAATTACTGGTACAAATATGTATTGTTAAAAGAAGAGAAATCGAATTTAATTCAGTTTGAGTTAAGATAAAGAATTCTTAACCGTGAGAGTAGTTTTACACAGAATTAATATATCTACACATTTTTAATGGAATTTTTTGTCTTCTGCTAGTCTCTATATTATTTTTATAAAGTCTTTATTGTAGATCAGAAATGATGAAGCAACAATATATTTTCCATATATTTCATCAAAATCCATCGCTTTTTGCAATAATAACGCGCAATTTTACGAAAACTGATATTTCCGCGTTCAACCTTTATTTTACAGTTAACAAATTGGTGAAATATGACTTTAGACACCTTAAATTGTAGGTCATTTAATTGCTTACAACATAAAATAACTAATTTTCCGATAGCTCCTTTAGATTTTCGTGGGCAGTAAAAAAAGTGAAAAAACACGTAAATTTGGCACTTATTTGCAATTTGCCAACTTAGCGTCACTTCTTTCGAAATATTTTTTTGATATATGACATACCCTCGTCATAAAGTGCAATAAAATGTCTACTAATCATTTTTTCAAGTTTTCAGGTTTTATAATTTAATTCGACTGGAGTATTTTTTAGTTTAAAATAAATTTACCACACAGTTGAGTACATCTAACATATGTAATTCTAAAATCGTTTCGTCAAACAAACAAGATATAGAATTTTTTTGCAAATGTACCTAATTATTATAACTATAAATATCATGTAATCGTTAAAAGTTCTAAAAAGTCAGTGATGCAGAAATTTGGTCTTTGCTATCCCTCAGAAAATTTGAAATTTCTATGCCAATGATTTATTTTTTAATTTCTAATTATTATATTTAAAATAGGTAGTATTTACAACAAAAAATCCTATATATATATATATATATATACATATTTTTATGAAACTAACAGTTTTAGACCGAAAAATATCTCGGAAATATCTTGGTTTTAGAAATAAATTGGAATATATTCTTTTCACCATCGACAATTAATAAACTGACAAGTGTCTGATTTAAAATGTAAACATTTCGAGAAGTGAAAGGAATCTTAGGACTTGAAGGTTGAATTTTGAGAATTACAGATTCTGTAGAAACTTATACCAGGAAGTTGTGTTCTCTTCTCATAATCTCGTGTCTTGTATTGACCTTGAACTGCTTAGCGAGAGTCGAAAACAACAAATTTCGCTCCAAAGTTATTGGAAAAAGTTTGCATCGACCTCTAAAACATTTGGATGGGCGATTATTTTTAGATGGCAGATCAACTTGACCCATAAACACAAACACGCAAGCTCATCCAACGATCCAACACAGTCGACAGACCTCAACACAACTAGTGATGGGAGATTTCGAGTGAAAAATCGAGTGGTACTCGATTATTGAGATCACTCGAGATATCTCGAGATGTTTACTCCCACCACTCGAGTGATTATTAGCCTACGGTTGCACCCCAAAATGTTAGTGCATACTGTAAATAGTCACTGATTGCGTAACCTTTTTTTTTAGAATAAAACGAAAAAGTGGTTAGGTTTTGAAGTGCGTGAGCTTTTTTTTTTAGCTACGCTTATAAGTAATATATGACTAATACAAACATATTTGTGCGCCGCTGGGATGAAAACGACCAATATCTCGTATCTCGAGTGATCACTCGATTATTAGAAGTACTCGATTACCGATAACTCGATTATCAAAATTGGTCGATTATGCCCATTACTAAACACAACCACAAAACAATCAAAACATGGAACAGCCGTAAATCCACATGGTCGCACCTTTTTTTATGTCACCTGGTCGTTGACCACCGCGGCCTGCATCGATTGGAGTTGCGCGTAGGGTTGACGTCGGTTCAGCGTGCCGTTTTTGATCCCTTCCCCAGCCGTGTTTACAAGTTTTCGAACCCAGATTAAACTTTTTCCAGAGCTGTGAGAGTGCCGGAGATATTCTGTATTGTGTCGAGTTGGCGTGTAGTGCTGCGTGAAGGTAACGATAGCCGATTCGAAGACTGCCACAGAACTAAAAGAGAAAAAGTCCGTGCTTTCAGTAGACACGAACGGTAATGTGATTCGACATTACCCAAACGAAAATTTGGATAGTCGTGCACAAATTCAGCAAATCTGGCGACTGAAATCAGATATAGGATTGGAATGAGACTTATCCTAAAGAAATTCATCATCCACACGTCGTCAGACCACTTTTCAGAAGAAAAAGTTAACATTTTCCTTTAGTTGTTAACTTTTTCCTTTCGTTTTTACTTATTTTTCCCGTTTTTACGCGTATATGGACTAGGAGTGCTTGATCTATCATTCAGGAAGTGTTGTTTCTTTAGAATTAACTAAAAACAAAGCAAAATGGCCTCAAGGACCCAATTTGTCGCTGAGAAGGAGGAGTGCAAAGGTAAGCCGTTGTTTCTTGCTTTTGTCCTTGATAAACTAACAATTTTAGCGTACATTACTCCTGGAACCTTTCAGTGTAATTGTAGGTTATGTGGACATAAACAATACGTAAGATTTTTGTACAAGAGGAAATTCTGTATTAAATAAAGATATTTCATACATAAAGATTGAGGTCTAAGAATAGATTGTAAATAAAGCAATTGAGAACATTTCTGTTTCGGCTTTGTGTAAAATTAAAATGATAAACATACATACATATGGGATCTAGCCAACGTTGAAAACATATGTTATATACACAGGAGTGTTCTGAATTGAATTATTTATTGCTGTTCTAAATATACCGAGGTCCAGTATAGTCAACTAGCACAGTTTTCGTAATTTTCTCACGTTTTGAATGTTTTTATGTTTTGAACGTTTATAAATATATTGATTTTAAATCCATACTTATTGCTAAGTCAGAATGTTTAGGTATCCACAGGTCACTAGATTGCCTTGAAAGATCGTAGAGAAATAAACTGAAAATTGTTTAGTTTCAGAAGTAGTGGGGAAAATAAATATTGGGCTTATTTTATTAAATATGTAGGTAGTTAGAAACATAATGCTAGCGGTTTTGGTCTAAAAATGACTATTACCAACGGTTTTTTTTTAACACGCAGGACATTTCAACGAGCGCCCAATTTCTGTTTTCCGAAAAACCGTCTCAAAATAACGCTACGGCGAAGGTGGACCCTCATTTGGATTTCTAGGAATTACACAAACAACACATTTCGCAACACAAAATTGGCGTCTGTTGGTCTACGAAGTACAAAGATCAATCTATTTTCGGGCGAGAAAAGCCTGTTTGTTTCTTGGCACCGGCGTTTTTTGTTCCAAGCTGATGTCATACTTTTGGCCGGAGATTTCGTCCTGCTCGGTCACACGAATCGACCGTGTTTTTATTGTGGCGATTTTCCTTGCTTTCGTGGGACTTGTGTAACGCGACACGGTGTGACACACACATTTTTGGGCGGTGCTTTCTAGAAATGGTCTTTGGAACGCAACACTCTGCTTGAGCGTAGAGCAAAACGAAAATTTTAATTTGAAATTTGGCAAAAACGGGATCTCACGTAAAAACGGCGTATCTGGCAATGCTGACCTCAGGCAATTGTTTTATGATTTCGTGGCATCCTAGACGCGTATTAATAAATTTTGTTTAGCGTTTTTTCGGCTTGTACTCCAGTCGAATTAGAGTTTGAACCTGAAAAAATTATTAGTAGACATTTTATCACGGGTAGAATGATAATAGTAAAAAAGTAACTCGAAAGAACTGATGCTAAGTTGGCAAATTGCAGATAAGGCAAATTTACGTGTTCTTTCAATTTTGATCCAAAGAAACGTATCGAAACAGAAAAATTTCAAAAAGTTGAAATTAAATTGGCTTTTACAACTAACAAAGTAGGACGCGCAAAACATCGTTATAAACAAATTATCCCAGGGTTAGGCAAAAGCCGCTCGGGAATTCGCTCTTTTTGCATTAAATGGAGTATTGTAGAAATATAACGTATACAGTACGCGCCTAAAGTATGGGATAAATTCAGTAAAAACGAAACAAATTTTTTTTGGGAAAAATCCTCGAACATGTCGATTTTTAATTTAAAAAATACATATTATAGCATAAAAGACGATTTTCAACCGTCATTTGTTTTCGAGTAATGACGTCATCGACATTTTTTTTAAATAGCAACCCCCTATTTTTTTTCTTGATTCTGAAAGATCGTTTCATTGTCGATCCGACAGTATTAAAATGTTGCCATCTTACATAGGAAAGTTTTCGAGTAAATGACGATTGAATGTTAGAAAACCCAAATCAATTAAAATAAAGCAAAAACGTTATCAAATTTAGTTTTTCGAAATGCCTGAAGTTTTTATGGATCACGCAGGTGTAAATCTTTCTAAGTATTGTAAGCGATATAAAAATTATTGTTGAATTTAAAGTATTATAGCACATTTAACTGTCACACAAAGAATTGAAATTTTAATTCTTATCGGATGCGGGTATAAGACTAGAACGCAGCAGGAAGTTTGCGATTTATTTAATGAAAAACATCCAGAACGCCGTATCAACCAATCAACAGTCAGTAAGATACAATCTAAATTTAGAGAAACTGGCAATGTTGTAGATATTCCAAAACCTGGAAGTCCAAGCCTTAGTGAAGATCACAAACCGAACAGTTTGATAAGTATGGTAGATAATCCTCATAATACTTCACGATTGGTTGCATTAAACAATGAAAATAGTCAGATCACAGTGCTACGTATCCTGAGGTAGGAAAAATATCATCCCTACAAAATTCAACTTGTGCAGGAACTCAATGAAGACGATCCCGACCGCCGCTTACACTTCTGTGAAATTATGGTGGATTTATGTCAATTAAATAGAGATTTACACCGGCAAATACTTTTTTCAGACGAGGCCACGTTTTGTCTCAATGGTACAGTGAACCGTCAAACTTGCAGGTTTTCCGTCGGGAAAATCCTCATTGGATGGCAGAGACACATACCCAACGCCCACAGAAATTAAATGTGTGGGCTGGAATAGTTGACAACAGAATAGTAGGGCCTTTCTTCTTTGAAGGAACCCTTACAGGAGAAAGATATTTAGAGTTTTTACAAAATGACCTTGTTCCAGCGCTTGCAGTAATTTTTCCTAACGATAATGACCCTGATATTCCTGATGACCCCATATGGTTTCAGCAAGATGGTGCACCTCCGCACTATGCGCGCCCTGTTCGAGATTTTCCGGACAATTATTTTTCTAGGAGGTGGATCGGCAGACGAGGACCGATGGAATGGCCCGCGAGATTCCCAGATCTTACACCCTTAATTCTTTAGAACTTCTAGTATATGGATTTTTAAAAAAGCGATTTTTCTTCAAATGATTAAAATAAAAATTAAAAAAATTAATAAGGAAAAATCTAATCCACCTGTGTAAGTTTTACCAAACATCCTGTACATAAATTGCAAAAAACACCTGGTTGGTAGGGTATAAGATTTTTCATAAACATATTGCAGACTTCAGTACAAAATATGAAAATGGAAAAATCAATAAGGAAAGTTTCGTTCTATTCATAGTTTTAATCTGCATCAGGATTGTGGAACACCCAGTATAAAGAATCAAAACGACATCCGGTTAATAAATACCTATACAATTTTTCATTAAAAGATTTTAGTAAATAAAAACAAAGTTAAAAGTGAAAAGGGAAAAAAATGTCCGTTTCGGATGTGGGTCAAGCGGCTGCTCAATAAATATACAACTTTTCTTCAAAAGATTTAATGAAAAAATTAGCAAAATGGATAAGAGAAAATGTCGTGCACCTGTGTCAGTTTAATGAAACATCCTGTACATAAATTGACTATTTCTTATGAGGCTACTTAAAGTCCAAAATTTACGTTAACAGATCACATAATTTAGAAGAACTCCAAAATTGTATTATAGATGAAATACACAGAGTTAGGTACCCCAGAAATAATTCATAATGTGCAAGAAGAATTTCTACACAGACTTGCGTATTGTCAAGAAGTCGGTGGGTGGCAATTCGAACACTTAATTTAGGTAGAAAATTTAATGAATTGTATTTGCTTGACATAGGAATTGTAATTTTTTTAATGAATAAAATTTAAGTTTTCTAACATTCAATCGTCATTTACTCGAAAACTTTCCTATGCAAGATGGCAACATTTTAATACTGTCGGATCGACAATGAAACGATCTTTCGGAATCAAGAAAAAAATAGGGGGTTGCTATTTAAAAAAAATGTCGATAACGTCATTACTCGAAAACAAATGACGGTTGAAAATCGCCTTTTATGCTAAAATATGTATTTTTTAAATTAAAAATCGACCTGTTCGAGGATTTTTCCCAAAAAAAATTTGTTTCGTTTTTACTGAATTTATTCCATACTTTAGGCACGTACTGTGTAGATATGAATTTTGGTACAGAACTATTTTATTTTAATGGACTGCATGTTCCAAAATTTAACTCGTTGAAAGTGTACACATTGTAGGTATAGGTATTTCAAATAATTTATTCCGTCCTTAATGAGTACGTTGGCTTGGGCTTGATGAAAACAAGCTTTCACTGTGCCGATTTCGAGGTCTTATCTAATCTAATCGCATGTAATGGTTTTCTAATATTTACCGAAATTTTAATCTAATCGTTGCTTCAAATACATGTTTATATGTGGCGATAATGTTATTTACAGGCGTACCAAGGCAAAATAGAAAATAACTCGGACTTTACACCATTCCTATCACTCACGTGTTTTGATACGGTCTAGCCGTTGGTGCTGTTGCGACAACGTGACACCGGGCCGGGCTAGACTGTTCCGACCGGTTCCTTGGCGTCAAGCTAAGCTATTAGGTAGAATTTATCCAAAATCATTGGAAATGATAAGTTAAAATATCTACTTAGCTTAGGCGCGTCTAATGCGTGGTCTTTTTGGACGCAAATAAAATGAAAAGTTAATGTTTGGCCCTGAATAAAACTTTAAGTTCCTGTATTTCGAAGAGTATATTCCGAATTGTAGGGGTTTCTTATTCATTTGAAGTGAAACACAAAAAATATTCGAATAGCCAAGTCTGGAGAAATGAAGAACGATCAGGAGTCGAAAATATACTTTAAAAATAGTTTGAAACCATTCCTGATATTTAAATGTAACTATCTACATCCAGTTTTAATTGTACTTGAACTGTTGCCAAAAGACGAGAGTCGTTATATTTTTCGGTAAACAGGTATGCCATCGAGGGGCCACGTGCTAGTTTTCGATCCAGAACGTTTATTTAACGTTGTATTTAGGATAAAATTATATATCAGTTATTTTCTATTTCTATAAATAATGGTGTTTTTCAACTTTTTTATTGCATTGCAGAATGAAAATAGGTTGAAAAATGAGACTCGTATTTTTCTTATGCTCAGATTGACCTCAGTTAAATCTTGAAAATAATTAAACAATTTCATCGTGC